GAGGGGAAGACCTAGGAAAACCTCGAAGGAAGCAGTCAAGGAGACTACAAGAAGAGGGACATAGAAGGCTAAGAAGAGTAGTGTTGCCAAAGGTCTCCTAACTGTTGCAAGACCAAGACCAGTACTGGTAAAAAAAATCGATTTTTTAAATAAAAATTAAGGCAAAATAGTTACTAATACACGACAATCTTAGTTACTATATGTTAATAATTAGTATATCAATATACTTTAGCATTTAACTCCTCTCATTTTTCATTCGGGTTTAGTTAGGTTTCTCCTATATAAAAAAAATACAGTAATATCTCTATAGTAATAAGCTAATAAGTAACTGCAAGACTGTTACGGGAATCTTGCGCAAGAGCAAGACCATGACAAATACTGAGTTTGCAAGACCAAGACTCGTCTCGGTCTCGCATTCGGGAAACACTGAAGAAGAGAATCGGTTCAGGACCTACAAGCGAGCTTCTCACACTGAAATGCGATAGAGAGGATAGATTAAGAAGGAATCTCCTTTTCCTTCTTAATCTATCCTTTCTACCTATCCATCTTTTCTAATCTAAAAAAATAAATAAGTAATGTGATCCATTTTTCGGCGACTAGATTTCCTTCATAACCATTGGCAGATCCAGCAATTTTCTGAGGGGCACACTAACGAAACAGGGGAATTGGTTCAGAATATACAAACGAGCTTCTCACACTGAAAAGCGGTAGAGAGGTTAGATTAAGAAGGAAAAGGAGATCAAGAGTATGTATTTTATTTAACTGTATATATTTAGATTTAAATATCATCCAATCTCAATATAGCCAACTGACTCTAGCCGACGGTCACAACGATTTTGATAAAAGTTCTTACTGGAATTTATCAATTTTAAAATTGAAACATTATAAATATTATTAAATAATTGGTATATATGGTTGTACCATTGTACAAGTCTATAAGCCGTAAGCGTCGTTGCCAAATCCTCACGATGATCGCGATCTCAGAAAGCAAAGAACTAGTAGTAACAACACAATGCCACGGGATTTCCAGATAGGAAGAGTGCCATTCTCCAGGTCAAGTTCAATGTCTCGCCCACTTCAGTCAACATCTAAAGGCAGCGAGGAAGTGACTTGCTCTTTCCTGAACCACCGTTCGTAAAGGCCGGTCGCCTCATTGCTGAGTCTAGTCAGATAGCCGGGATAGAGGTCAACCTCTTTTTTGTAAAGCTTGAAAAAATACAGATCATTTGCTGAAGTCATCATTTACATACATTATTAGCAACAAGGACCACTCATTCAAGAAATGCTTCTTCTTGGGTCACTAAACAAATTACATAATATATGTTTGGCATGAGCAATGAGAGGCAAAATAAAAGAAAATATGACAGAAATTAGAATTATCCCAAGATTTTAAATGGAACCTTGAGCCTCTCAAATGACAGTTAGTAAATAACAGCTTCAATGTTAATGTTTTAATATCAGCTTATATTAAACTGTTAAATGGTGGGAGTAATTATGTTCTTACTAAAAAATTACTTTGGTGTGTACATTTTCAAGATCAAGATCAAGGTTAGGAGTGGATGATACATTAGAGGTTTATAAACTATTACAGGTTCGATTCTGGTTGTAATTGGAAATTTTATTTTTATTATATCATCCGTGAATCGACTCTGAGGGCCACTGAAAAAAAGGACATTCAATAAGTTTGTGGAAAAACCTGGTGGCTGAGCATGAGTGTTGATTACATTGCTTCCTTGTCCTTGTACAACCGTTCGTCTAGAAACATCTCTGTTTCTGTGAGTGGTCTGAGGTACATACTTTAACAATCACAAAATGTTCTCTTTTTAAATAATAAAACTAGAAAAAATATTCCGTTTTTCAATTTTGACCATTGCTTCTAAATATCGTTTCACACATTTTTTTTTTTTAAAGAGTTTGGCAAAGATTCCCTGAAACGTCCAATAATAAATATCAATCAAAAACTAATACAATTAATTGAATTGACCAAAAGGCAAACTAATAAATACGAAAAGAAAAAAAAATATTAAATGTATCACAAAAAGTATTGTTTCTGTATTTACTATTTTTTTTATTTATATTTTTATTGTTTACTATTATATCAGGCATTCAAGGACCATTTAAATACCACGTCGTATTGCCTGTTTCTTTTTCTTTCAGAGTTATTAGCATTATATTATCGTTATAAAAAAAAAAGGTATCACTGTTATATAGTTAGGAGCACTGTTTCAAAGCCAACAGTTGTGCAGGAAGGTGCTTGGATCAGTATCACGCTCAACCGCCAGGTTTTTCCCTTAATTAATTATTTTAATTAAGAATACCCACATTATAGAGGCTGGATGTGCCCTTGGAGGGTCTCCTGACCCCAGGGACGATCAACGGCTGATGAAAAATGAATTCTCATCAGTCTGTTTCGGATCCGAAACCTTGAGCTTTGGAAGTCAGTGCTTAACCAATAAGATACTAGCTCCGAATATTATAGATATAGAATAAAAAAAAATTAATGCCTGGTTTTTAAAGATGAAGATAAAATTTTTCATTTAGTAGAACACTAGTAAGTGAATATAGAAATAACTCACAATATAAAAAATATATATTTGATAGCCTGTATAATGGTGAAAATTAGGCATTATAGTCAATGCCTATACTTTTATATATAATATAACATATATAATCATCCTGCTGATATTTAAGAAATTGAAACAAAAAAAGTTTTTATTTATTTTTTTTTATATCTTGACGAAGGAATTAAATAATTTTTATTGTTCTTTTTTTTATATACCGGTTAGAACACTTGCTATAAGTAATCAAGTTTTGACATAAAATAATATTTATATAATTATTCATAAATATAGTTAGTACGAACTTGTAGAAGCAGCAGTTTCAGGAGATGTGGGCCCCTCAAAGAGATGCAACAACTCGTGACCCACTTTACGGTAACTATTATTGTAGTTTACTATCGCAGCTGACAGTTAGATTACTAAAAGGTAATCTACAAATGACTACGAGCGATATTACATGATTAAAGTGAACGTTTAACTGTCGTCATTTGACCTCCCTACCGTTAGCTTATGTTTATCAACAGGGCTACTTTCACAGACTATTAGTTTTATGAGAGTTGCTATATTTCATAAGCAATTATTCTATCATTAAATTACTAATGACTTAGAAAAGAATGACTATAGTTTTGATTTTGAGAATTCATGATTATTCAAACATCAAAACGAATAAATAAAATATAAACCAAAAGTATCGTTTGGAGTGATGGTGCGAATAACTCCAGTTTATTTCAATGGGATTATGTAGAAAAGTATAGGAATTATCACAAGAAAAAATGATAAACAATAAAATTATCATGTTTCAATAGAAGTAATAAACTAATTTCGAAAAAAAAACCAACTAATATTCATAGATAGTGTATATAGGTATGGTTGTATCTAAGATGTCTGTTTTACTTTTATTTTTATTTTTACTTACTTATGTGTTTTTTTTTCTTATTCTTTTTTATTACTTTATTTATTTATATTTCTGTATATACGGTATGAATGTAAATCTCTGAACTCTATCATAAGCGTCCTTAACTGATACAGAATGTAATATTTCTCAATAAAATGTGTAAAAAAAAACCATATATATATATATATATATATATATATATATATATATATATATATATATATATATATATATATATATATTCATAGAATTTGTTCTCATAATTATTTTAAATAGTTACCAATTTTCTAAAATACTTTTATTCATTAACAACTTATTATTTATGCAAACCATTTCTTTACATTTAAAAAAAAAAATACAAAACCACTACTAGCTAAATTAAACAGAATCGCAATAATCAGATAAAAAAAAAATTACAAATGTGTTTTTCAATTTTATAATAATTTTTCGAAAATCGTTAATACAATTTTATTTAAAAAAAATAGTAATGATCATTCATAAATAAATAAGTTTAATAATTTCTGATAGAAATTAGTTAGAATTGCGATTTATTTTATGAAATGTTTTATGATACGAATATATATTTTTATTTATATGAGGTGTTAATGGATTATCTGTATAGGTAAAGATATGATGCATGTTCTGTAATTAGCATGCAATAATTAATGCAATTAATTTTTATTTAATTTATTTTTAGTGAAGAAAAAGAAAGACATTGTAAATATATATATATATTTACAAGTAATTAGAGAAGCACTAATACTTTTAGGAATTTATTTTTATATATTTTTTTCCTGAAACTTATTTACATTTAGTAGTTGTATAAGCGTTATAATTAAAATCGAGTACATTTTGTGATTGTTTAATTATTTACCTCATATCACTATTTCCCCTCATATATCTCACAGAAACAAATATGGACCTATGAAAAATAATTATTTTATTATTTTGGGGGAAGAAAAGAAACTTTAGCCGGAAAGCCCTTTATGGATTCGCATGTTTATTATAAAATATTTAAATGAAATAAACGAAAGGAAAAATCATTTTTCATTATGCGGAAGCATATATCAAGAATCATACGTTCGATAAATTTAATAGAATCATTTTTATCTAGTTACACTCATTTAAGAAAAGAAAAATCAATTTATACTATTATAAATTGATATTATGCCCAGTTAAGATTTATATAAATGATTTGTAAAATAAATATTATAGTAAAGCATTAGATAAATTAAATAGCTAAAACTTCTTAAAATAAATTATTAGAATAATCTAACGAAATGACCTAATATATATAGGTCACAGCTCAGATAAGAACATAAAAAAAAAAAACACTAACTGAGAATAATTGACAAGTTCCAAATCTAAGCGTTCAGCTCATCAATAACAAGATTTAACCCAGTCTAGAGATGGATCTGATACATCGATGAGTTCAGTGCTGAGTTTAGGAACTTGCCCGATATGTTTAAGTTTGTCAACAATCCTTTACATTTTAACATTTAAGCCAAATTGTTAACCAGTTGATTATAGAAGTGAAGTGCACTCACAGACCAAACAGAGGTAGGAGAGGTAAGCATGCGACCAAGACTCCGACCTGTAACCTCATCGAAGCAGCAATGAGAGGAAACCTACACCCCACCACGCCATCGGATCAGCATCCTTGGCATATCCAGGCGGAATAACTGTTTAATTAACCTAGTCCTTTCCAATCCATCAAATAATCCATTATAGGCAATGAAACTCGGCGGAGTTTCTAAAAATAGCAGAGGGTTATTACACTTGTAAAGGGTGTTTTATTACCAAACGGATTTATATGTTCTGTTGCTAAACGGATGATTACATAAGAAAAACAATGCAACTTAAGAATAAAGGATCGATTATTGTTGTGACAATTGACAAATAAATATCAAATCTGATTGAAATCGTGGCCTTGGTTTGAAAACATTCTAACGAATTTGGACAAATTGAGTTTTCAATTAGAAACCACTTGCAACAAAGTCATGTTCCAAATGAATTTTATTGTCATAAATTGAAAAAATAAAGAAACTAACAGTGTGACATGGTTCTAACAACTTCTGAAAGTAATTAGTTTGAGAAAGTTCTAACTGCTATAATCTGTAGCTGTACTCAGTGCCGGCCTTAGACGTTAGAACATGAGGAGGAGACTAAGACTGCGTTGGATGAGTGACATCTTTCCTTAAACAACCTTATTAATTGAAACCAATCAGGGAAGAGGTGCTGCTGAGTACTTTCATTCTCCATGCCTGACATGCCATTTATATCTTATATTTCCAGCACATTTGCTGATTGTCAACAAAAGGTTGAAAGGCGCAAATCAATTTTTATAGCCAAAAAGAAAAAAAAGAAGATTAAGTTGTACAATTAAGCCATCGTCTAATTCAAAATTAAGTATTGTACAAACAAAATTTTTATTCTAAGTAACAAAGTATCTATATTACAGTTAATTGTAACTTTAAAGCTTTGTTTCTCAAAATTATAGTAAATGCAATTAGAACCTTTTGAACCCAAGGCCAAAAAATATCACTTAAATCAGATTGGATTCGAGTCCAAATCGATCCGTAATGTCTGTTGTGCTTAAATAAATCTACCGGCAGTGGATCAGCTGATGAGAAGGTTGTCTCCTCAACTCCTCTCTCAGTTTTTACCAATTTTATAGCGGAATCTCTCTGATTATTCACGTGATACAGTTAAAGTGTATATCAGAGCAGTTGATATTTACTGTTGACATCTTTTTTTTTTGTTATTTTAAGAAAAAAAAAAAAAAAAAATTTTTTTTTTTTTTTTTTTATTTATTTATTTATTTTTCTCTTATGATATGCGGTATGATCAGCAAGTGATGGCCAGTAAGGTGCCCAAGAGGTCTCGGTCAGACGGAGTTAGCTCACCAGCCAAACAAAGGACTCGTCGCTGCCTACGAGAAATACCTCCAGTGACCAAAATGAACACTTCAGAACCAGAACCTCAGCCCCAACCAGGTACGTCTGCACAAGAAACGATTGAAGAATCACCTTTCTTTACTCCAAACCCCTACCAAGTGCTTCAAAATGACAGAGAAGTAATGGAGTCTGCAGCAATACCCAGAGAACCAAAGCCTCCACCGATATTTGTGAAAAATATAAAAAATTTCCAGATGTTCTGCACCCAACTAAATAAAATCTGCTCTGGCAGTTATTCATGCCTTAACAGAACCAATGACACCAAAATAACACCTGATTCTGCAGAAGCCTACCGAAAAATAGTGAAGTACTTATCAGAAACAAATGCGAATTTTCACACTTACCAGCTGAGGCAGGAAAGAGCTTTACGAGTAGTGATAAGAAATTTACATTCCTCAACCCCCACTGAAGTTATTAAAGAAGAACTAACGACGCTTGGTTTCAATGTACGCCAGGTAACAAACGTTTTGAAGGAGGACAGGGAGCAGCCAGGATTACGAAATAGGATCCCACTACCATTGTTTTTCGTGGACTTGGAGCCATCACCAGGTATCGAAAAAATATATGATATCACAAGAATATACTACACAATGGTGAAAGTTGAGAAGCCATATCCCAAGAGAGACATCGTGCAGTGCCATAATTGTCAGACCTATGGCCACACGAAGACATATTGCTACCATCTGCCGCGTTGCGTGAAGTGCGGTGAACAGCACAAATCTGTAGAGTGCACCAAACCTATACAAGATCCAGCAGTATGTGCCCTATGCTTGGAGGGACACCCGGCCAACTACAAAGGCTGCCAAATTTACAAGAATCTCAAAACCAGACACCAGAAAAACCGGATTCAAGATGAAGCACTAAGAACAAGAAGAGAGAGAGAGCCTTCCAGAATTGTAAACAATGATGTATCATTCTCCCAACTACTTAGAGGTAAGACTTTAACCGATAAATGTCAAGCCCTGCCACAACAACAACCTCAAACCCAACCTCAAAATCCTCTTCATCCTAATATACCTAACCACCAACAACAAATTCCTCATATTCCTCCTCCTTCAAATGCAACAGATCTCACAAGTTTGTTAGCATCTTTCCTCACCGATTTCAAATCCCTTGTTACTCCACTCATATCACTCCTCACGAATCTCGTATCTCACCTCATCCCTCCTTTGAAAAATCCTTAAATGACTCACATCCCTAAACCCATATCCATTCTCCTTTGGAATGCGAATGGTGTTAGAAATCATACAGACGAACTATCTACTTTACTACTTGACAAGAACATTGATGTGGCACTAATTACTGAAACTCGACTAACCACTAAACAGCACTTCAATATACCACAATACCTGACATATCGTACTGACCACCCTGACGGAAAAGCACATGCCGGTACTGCTGTAATTGTACACCAATCCCTCTCCCATCACGTACTCCCATTACCAATACATGATTTCCTACAGTCCACCGCTATCGTGATAAAAACCTTCTCCTTTCCGGTCACTCTTGCATCAGCGTATTGCCCTCCTAACCGATCCATATCCAATGCCCAATTCAGTTCTCTCCTCGACTCCTTAGGACATCACTTCATCTTGGGTGCAGACCTAAATGCCAAGCACCAACAATGGGGTTCCAGAACCACGAATTCTCGTGGCCGAACCCTGCTGTCTGCACTCAATTCCCAACGTTTTCACCTCCTTTCCCCCAACTCTCCTACCTACTGGCCCACAGATCCCAACCGTAATCCTGATCTTCTTGATTTCTTTATCCACAGCGGCTTAAGTCCCCTCAATTGTTCCATTACACGTCTAAATGAACTTTCCTCTGACCATAGTCCTCTAATCCTTAATGTTTCACTTGAACCTGTTCCCAAACCTTCTCCACCGTCATTCATTAGGGGCCCAGTAAACTGGGACCTTTTCCGCCAAATAATCTCCGATAATATTGATCTCAACATATCCCTCAAAACTCCCGATGACCTTGATAGTGCCGTAAATTCCTTTACTACCACAATCCAACAAGCCGCCTGGACTGCCTCCTTCCCAAAAGACTCCTCCAGAATTCCTATAAAGACCATTCTACCCCAACACATCCTTAACCTAATCCGCACCAAACGCCGTGCCAGATTATTATGGCAACGTACCCGACATCCTACCGACCGCTGCTCCTATAATTACTACTGCAAACAATTAAAACTGGAATTAGCCACCTTCAGATCACAATCCTTCAACTCCTACCTATCCTCCCTCTCTTCTCGCGACAATTCCCTTTGGAAAACCACAACAAAAATCCTAAATCCTCACCGCATTTCCCATCCTCTCCGACGAGGTGATGGCTCCTGGGCAGCATCTGACGAAGATAAAGCTGAGGAGTTCGCCATTCACCTATCCAATACATTTATTTCACATCCGGAATCCCATCCTGCCCACACCGTAACAGTAGAAGAACTCCTTACATCACCAATCCCACTTTCCTTGCCCCCAAAAGCTATTCATCCTTCCGAAGTAAAATTTCAATTAAAAAAACTAATCCTCCGTAAAGCTCCTGGACATGATCTCCTTACACCTCAAATCCTTCGACAACTTCCATCCAAAGCAGTCATATTCCTTACATATATCTACAATTGTATCCTACGCACCACCCACTTCCCTCTGTTATGGAAACACTCCACTATTATCCTCTTCCCAAAACCAGGAAAACCTCTCAATAGCTCAACATCCTATAGACCAATCAGCCTACTCCCAATCCTTTCAAAAATTTTTGAAAAGATCCTTTTGAAACGAATCCTACCCATTATAGAATCCCAAAATATTCCTTCCCATCAGTTTGGTTTTCGCTCCCAACATTCTACTGTTCAACAAGGACTCCGAGTTGTTGATCATATTTCCTCAGCCCTAGAAAACAAGGAATACTGTTCGGGTGCATTTCTGGACATTGCACAGGCATTTGACCGGGTATGGCACTCCGGACTGCTCTTCAAGCTTAAAATCCATTTACCTCAGTCCTTGTACCTAGTCCTCCGATCCTACCTCTCTGACCGCTCCTTCCGAGTTCGCTGTGGAACAGAATTTTCCAATATCTACTCCGTTAAAGCCGGTGTTCCCCAAGGCAGCGTCTTGGGTCCCGTGCTTTACATCCTCTTTACTGCTGACATCCCTGTTCATCCCGATACTTTTCTTGCAACATTCGCTGACGACACCGCAATCTTATCATCCAACTCTGATCCCAACATAGCATCCTTAAATCTCCAAAACCACCTCACCTTGATTGAGCACTGGTGTAATAACTGGCGCATTAAAGTTAATGAATCTAAATGCCAACATATTACCTTTACACTCCGACGCAGTTCCTGTCCACCAGTACACTTTAATTCCATCCAGCTTCCTTACTCAGACACAGTCCGGTATCTTGGCTTTCATTTAGACCGAAGACTAACGTGGAACCCACATACTAGACTCAAAAGACAAGAACTCAACCGACGATACGGCCAGCTATACAGACTACTAAACAGAAAATCCAAACTTTCTATTGAAAACAAATTACTTATCTACAAGACAATACTGAAACCTATATGGACATACGGACTTGAACTGTGGGGGACAGCAAAAGCTTCTAACATCAAACGTATTCAATCCTTTCAATCTAAAGTCC